ATGAAACGGCGATTGGCTTCTCGATCTCCTTCTTTTCTGTGAACATCGACGACTACTCCTCTCAAGCGCAAACGGAGATCGCCTCCTCTCCATCACCGACACTCACTCTGTTCAACATCTTTCCCAACATCTCTTTGCCTTCGCATATGTATCTATCTCCAGTCGTCACTCTTGATCTCTCAGTCTCTCTCAAAGACGCAGTTTGCGGTAGCTATCTCTCTTTAACAGCAACGATTTCAACCAGAATCCACCACAATTATTCTGATCCAAGTAATTTAGACTTAAAATCAAAACAAGAAAGGATAGTAGGAAATACTACTTACCAGTGTTGTACCCCAAAATTTTTCCTCCCATATTTCTCAAAACATTGCAAGAAAAATCTCCAAGTTGCTCAGGGTTGGCCAGACAACTCTCTCCTAAGGCAGTCTACTCAAATTAGGGTTTTATGTTGCATCAATATCCTTGAGTCCAAGTGACCCAAAGTGCTCACTAATGTCCTAATATTTTCTCAAGATCATCCATGTCATGTTTCAAGCCTTGCAGAGGAATTTTTCTCATTCAATTGCTCAAAAGGTCCAAAAATCGACTGTGTTAGAGCAAAAGTCAACTGTTACCCAAATACAGTCAAACTTCAAGATTTTTTGTCAAAATTATCATTTTGAAGGATATTTCATCATTTGATCAAGGATTGATCATGATTCATCAAGGATTGCTCAAAATTCATCAAGATTCAAAAGTTGCTAAATTAGGGTTTTGCAGGAAAAGTCAACTCAACTTTGACCAAGCATAACTTTCTCATACTCTATGAGAAATGAACCATCCAAAACTCCTTCTGAAGAGGATGAAATTCCCTACAATCCATATTCATACCCCAAGATCAAAATATGCACTCACAAGAAGTTATGAATTTTGACATTATAGGTCATTTTTGAAAGTCAACAAAGACACCTTTTTTGTCAAAGCTTCTAACTTGATCATGGAATATTCAAATGAGATGAGACCAAAAGGGTTGGTTATAAGACATCTCAAGCTTTCTAGAAAGTCTAAGAACACCTCCAAAGAGTCAAAATTGAAGAAGTTATGCATTGTTAAAGTTGGACTTTTTTGCAAAATTGCCAAAAGTCAACTATCCCCAAAACTTCAAATTTTGCCAAATGGGCCCATTCTTTTTCACTTGTTTTGAGTTTGAATTAATGCCCACGTGCTCTAGCCTTGGCCATGTTCTCATATTATATTTTTATTATTTAATTTGATTTTTATTTGAATTAATTCATTTTAAATAAAATAAAATCACATAAAATCAAAAATATTGATAACCAAAGATCTTTTGATGGTTATAGGTTTCAATAGACAACTTGCACCATACCAAACTCGTATCAAGGTATTAGAGTACAAAAAGATTCAAATGAAGCCAAAATTAGAAGGTTGTAAAAGAAGATCAAATCAAATATTCAAGCATTGATAGAGGAAGATTTGGACAGTAAAAACAACCCTAATGTATTGTACAATACATAAGGAGGCCAGGAAAATAATTTTAAGGGTTGGAGATCAGTTCTTGAGGCAGAACAAAGTTGGAAAAAATCAAGAAAAAGTGGGACTTCGAAATTAGTCATAGAGGCATCCTCAAGGCTTGGCAAGTATCTTAATCTCTTCCTGGCCATCTCCACAAGCGAAAGCAACCCATACCACGCGTTTTCAAGCCTCCTAGAGCTCTATAAGTCACCCACGAATCCGCCATATTCTTGAAATCGATTCATGCTATTCTTGCATCTATAACAAAAAATAATTGCATATTCTGATTCACCACATCATTTGCAAGCCTTTCACAATAACCAATTTCATTTATCTAACCTATATCACAGATCACCATTGCTAGGGTTTTTTGTTCGTTTTTAGGGCTTTTTTTTTCAGGAAAAATTAGCTTTATTAATGGTTATGGTTATGATCAGAAGAGGATGATGAGTTCAACCATGGTCCTAGAACTCATTTATATGGCTTGAGGAAGATTTTAGAATGAAGCTACGATTTTAGCTGTAGATAAAAATCCGCAGGTAAAGGTTGCAGGATTTAGAGGACAGGGATGATGAGTTGTCGTCCTCCCATAGGACCAATCGAAATACGCGCGCGTTTTATTTTTCTTTTTCTGACCGTTGAATTTTGTTTTTTATATTATTATTATTGTGTGTTTTATTAACAACAAAAACCACTTGGCCTAGTGGTTGTCACGCTTGATTCCAAGGCATATGGGGCTGGAGGTTAGGGGTTCGATCCCTGCCTCCAACATTTGTTATTTTTCCAATTGTTTCCAGGAAATCATGTGCATATTCAAGCTGGAGGTTCACCATGGATATTCACCATCAAAGCGCCAGATGGCCAAAGGGCCAGATCTGGTGGTCAGCATCAAAGGTCCACCAAAAGGCTAGTCAACGCGCGTGTATGGGATCCCAAAAAGTCAATTGGATCAGCATATTTGGGCCAGCAAAATTGCTATGGACACCTCCAAAATCAGGCCCATCTCTACTTTTCTTTATATTTTGTTTATCTAATTTAATTATTTTATTTTGCTTTAATTAATTTCTAACCAATAACAAATTTTCTTTTTTTATCAAAAAATCACAAAAATACTTTTTATCCAATTAAAATTCATAATTTTATTTTTATTAATAAATACTAACTAATTAATTAGGTTTTTAATTCTAGAACAACCTTAATTTATTTTTGTAAATAAATAAAATCAATTAGAATTAATTAGGTTTTAACTTCTAATTTAATTATTTTAATTTCTTTCTTAAATTAGCAAAAACTCCAAAAAATATGCCATTTATTATTTTTCATTAATTAATTTACTTAATAATTAATTTAGTATTTAATTTAGGATTTAATTCTTTTTCTTAAAATAAAAACAACAAAAACATTTTCTTTAATTAAAAGGGTCAAAACCCTAAATTTCGCATTCGATTTAATTTCACTCGCGCGATTTATTTTTTCCTTATTTAATTATTGATGTATCTGCTCCCGGCTTGTAATAGTTTTAAATATGACATTTATTATTTTTACCGCTTTATTTTATTTTCAAAGGGTTGCTTTTGGCGATGTAAATACCCGACGCCTTGTAATTTAATTTCCGCACTTTAATTTCGGCTAATTATAACTGCTAGATGATTGATAATAGGGTTTGCATGATAAGATTGAATGCTTAATCTTAAAATCAAATCAGATCACCCTTAACATGTGCAAAGTTAAAAATAACTGAAAATAACACACTCGCACATGCGCATTCCTATGGTACACCCCACTTGGTTGCCTTCGTAAACGGTCATTGAGTATAGGTCGTTTTAGAGGTAGTCCTCTTGTCTAAAAGATCATAGTTGCCTTGAAATGGTTGCCTCAGATATTTTTGCCTCAAACAAATGATCTAAGACATTAGTGTTACCGCTAAGGCGTCCTAATATTGCTTTAGTGACTGTATGACCCTCATTCGAATTGACCCTCAAACTCCAACGACGGTGCTACCTACTCACTAATACTGGGATATCATTGTCTAAAGGAAATTAACATAGAACGATTCCTTTTTCGAGTAGGTAGATTAGTTCTTAGATACTTGCTCATCCCAAAACAAAAACTTTTTTCACACCTACACTTTTTCAAACAAAGTTTTCAAAAATACTTCATTACACTCTTGAGGACAGAAGCAAGAGTTAAATCGAAGTTAAAAACAAAAACTCTTTCAAAACCCACAAGCACAAAGAAAACAATTTTGAAAATGATGAGCAAGTACCTATGAGCCCGTAGATAACTACGAATAGAAAGGGTGCTAATACCTTCCCTTTCTATAATCTACCCCCGGTACTCAGAAATATCTCGAAAAAGGAATTTTTCTATGCTTTTTACCTTTCCTTGTTGGATAAAATAAAAGTCGGTGGCGACTCTTGCTTACCGCGACATTTTGCGAAAACAAACGCAAAACACAAACCAGCATTCCAAAAATCAGTCGGTTCTTCCCACCATATCACACCGAGTATGCAATTCTTCCTGTTCTTATCTCCTACTGGTTAGAATCGTGAAGAACCATTGCTTCTGTGATGTTATTCTGTGCGGTTTAACGCTACTGTAGGTTGTGTAAGTTTTGATGTTGTCGCGTTTCAATGCAGAAGTAGTTGTTAACGTTTATGTAATGAAGACGACGATGAAGAATTGCAGAAAGTAGCGATATTATGGTGATTATTTGTGGATGATGGAATAGGAATTGCAGAGATGGAGAAGAAATGAATCGATATTAAAGGTGATTAAGGGAGATGAAGATTGAAGATCAAATTCCAAGCATGGAAGAGAGAATATCAGAGGTCAGTCTTTATGATTTTCTGTGAATCGTGGAAAAAATGAAATCCTCCCCTGATTTTGGTTAGAATTCTGTTATATAGTTTGTTGAATCTGTGAGAGAATTCTGTTAGAGGTTAGTTAGAACAGTTGGGAAATTCTGTTTGAGTTTGTTCGGGTTTAGAGGATTGGTTAGATATTTTGTTATGATAGTTGGTGATATTGAGGTTAGTTAACTCTGTTAATAATTAGTTAGTTCTAAAATATTTTTGTCTCAATGAGTTTGTGATCAGTTTAAGCCTTGGGTTTCAGTTTAAAAACAATTAACAGAATTGGGTGAAAGCTAGTTAGTTGAAAATTTTGCTTAGTTAGTTATAGGTTAGTTATAGTTAGAAATTTGTTAGAGTTAGTTAGAGAGTTATGTTAGAAGTTTGTTATGGAACTGTTATAATCTGTTGGAAATAGTTGGGAAACGGTTAGAGGTAGTTAGTTGGTTGTTTTTTGTTAAAAAATGCTAGGAGATTTCTAGAGTTCTATTAGTGGTCTTTAATTATAAAATTTTGTTCTGATTTTTTAGGCCAGTTGGTTATCTAGAATGGTTAGATCAGTTTGTTAAACTGTTATGATATGATTAACTGGTACCTAGAGTGAGAGGCGGGCTTTTAACCGAGTTACATGTTTTTTTACTTGCAGACTTGAAAACATCGAAACAGGACTGGGCTTGGACTTTCTTTGGAATGTTGATGCAATCGCTCAAAGTTCATGTATCTTCGTTTTACAAACCATGTTTTTTCTTGCCCGTCGGTCACTGCGATTGAATATACAACAAAAGAAGTGGCTCCGAGTTTCTCAAAATAGGCTCCCATCACCCGACACTGAAGCTTTGGAACACCTTGTCCCTCTTTCCTAATAACCATGTCAGAACCAGTCTTTCCCCGCAACCCTTCACGCTTTTTAAAATCAGGGGAGTTGCACTCTGACACATTGACCCCGCCTTTATGTGAAGGGACTCCCATTTCAGAACCAATCTTTCCCCAAAAACCTTCACGTTTCTTAAAATCAGGGGAGTTGCACTCGGACACATTGAGCCCTCCTTTATGTGAATGGGTTCCCAAGACAGAAGTACTTTCGGTTCTCCTGAGATGAAGTTTATGTTTACTAGAACCAAGATCCTTGATATCACTCACTTCGTCAACATGTTGATGATCTCCTTCAAAAGATAAATTCTTGCTATTGTCTGCTGAAGACTCCAATGCAGCTGCAATTACATTATATAGTGTGGGATCTGAACCCACAATATGCAATGTTCCACCAGGTTTAGTCACTGGTGTTTCATGAGCGAAATGTTTGTCAAAAGGTGAATGATTTGCAGAAGAATGTTTTGCATAAGATCTAGATTTTGCATTTTTACGACTTTTCTTTCTGTAATTCCTTCTTATTATCAGACTTTGGATAATAGGTGCAAGTTTCTAACTGATGGAACAAAAGATATTGTGTCAGCAGCTGGTTTTGTACGGGTTTGATCAACTCGGTTCATACTTTTAACTTTTAAACCGGTTCTGTTCTGTTTATTTTTTTTGTGATGAAATATTTGAGCTTATGATTGTTATTTAACACTGTTTTGTTAGGAATTGGCCCTTGATTGAATATAGATTTGGTTATATCTGAAACAAGTCTGCATGACGCTTTAAAGATGGATTAAAATTAGGGTCGCGGAAGTTTGAGAAGACGACATGAGAAGTTAACCAAAGCAAATTAGTCTTTATTATGTGCTAAATGAGAGGGAATTTGGAGACAGGTGCTTGACATGAACATGGAATAAAGATATTAGGGTATTTAGAATTTTAGGTTGAAAACAAAAATTTGTGTAGTATATTTTTTTGGTATGATATTTAGACATGCTAATCATGGTTTCTGTAAATTGGATGTATGGTTTGTAAATGATAAACATTTGTAGAACTTGAGTGGTGAATGCTAAACTTGATATTTGAAACTGAATGAGCTTGTGCCATTCGAAGACGAAATGAATGGATACGTTGAATTCCTTGAATATTGAATTATGATGAACTTTGCTTTTGTAACTCCAAGCACTCCGTACTCGCAGATTCTGAACTCATGGCACTAAGTAGTCATTGTGATGGATAATTCATAATAGCGAATTCGACTCAAATTCAAATCTTAAATCAAAACTTCAATCTTGAATCCAAACCAACTTGTATGATAAGTAATTTGAATAGACAATAAGATCTTGATCCTAAAGAATTCATAACCTCGCCTTTTGTATTATGAATCATATTTCACGATTCAATCCACAATTCTTGACAAAGTCCTTCCCTGATTGACGACATTGAATTACCAAAGATGAACATATAAAATAGTGAAAGAGTATGATCAAGATTAACATGAAACTTTATTCCCAGATCTTCAATTACTGAACCTTTATTAATGAATGGAAACCCTAATTCTTTGGCCTGACGTAGGGAAATAAACCCTAACCTCTAGAACTGATGAAACTGGATGGAGAAGAAGCCCGATCATGAGCATCCTCCAAAACCCTAACTCCAAAGTCTAGTACACCAGGAAGACCCTGAATAATCAGACTTATTCAACCCACACACCTCAAATTAGTTGTAACCCTAGCTCCCTAACTACTGATCTTTTGAACCTCAGGTGAGCCATTTTTCTTTCTAAAATGCGTGCTATACACATGACCTATTGGAATGATGCAGATGAATGCAAAGTCTAAGCCAGAATAAGAGAAATTTATGAGGGCAAATTTTGGGGTGCAACACTATCTTACCGTTGATTGGTAAGAAGCCTTATCTTCGGATGTAAAGGGATGGGCGTGGGTCATCGTATAGCCATGATAGCAATGTTGTGAAATATCTTAGCAATTCTCTTTAAGGGACTAAGATCATTTTGAAAGGCAACATTTGATAGCGTCATCGAGGGACTCATCTTGTATTTTTTATTTCTTTTGGCTAAGATATCTCACATGCATAACATGGCCATTTTAGTAAGGCAACAAAGTGGAATTACCCTAAGGGTGCAAGTGTGCAAATGTGTTTGATTTACATGCTTGTTTATCTTGGATTAGGGTTTGCTAACTTGTTGATTTTAATCTTTCCATACAAACCCTAATTTACTAGTATTTTTATATAAAGCGATAAATTGCGGAAAGTAAAATACTAATCTATTACATCATTAGGGGAGGGGATATACAAATTTACAAATGGGGGTTTGCAAGAAAATCAAAACTAATTATCTATTACAACCATATTGAATAAATGTACAAAAATTGAATAAATAATGTACAAATGCAAATGGAAAAAGAAATGATTTTTGTTTGGTTTTCATGAAAGGGGTTTTAACCTAATTAAGAGAGATGATTAATAAAACAACTTAAACTTAAATTAATTAAGAAATAAATTAGGTTAAAAAATATTTTTAGGGTTTTTTTGTGAAAAGGTTTAAATTTAATAAAAATTAAATAAAAATTAATTAAAAAGAAACCTAAGTTCTAAATTAATTTTAATTAAGAAAATAAAATAATATAATAATTAAACCTAAGTCTAAAAATTTATTAATTTAGAAAATAAATTTATTTATTAAAATAAAAATGTTTTTAGTCTTTTTGTTTTATAAAGAAAAATAAAATGTATAAGCATTTTTTAAATATGCAAATAAATAAATAAAATATTTTGGAATTTTTTATTAATAAAATTAATAATAATAATAATAATAATAATAAAGAAAATAAAAATATAATGAAATAAAAACAAGAAAAATGAAATAATAAAGAAAAATGAGCCAGGGGTGTAAAAGTAAGAAGGGGTTAGAGGTCAGCAAAAACAAAAGCCCAAAGGGAGGGAAGCCCATGCGCTGCTGCAAAAAAAAAAAGAGAGAAGCAAAAAATATGAAAATAAAATGGCAAAACTGACGTTGGGGCTCGAACCCAGGTCCTAAAGGTGAAAGACGCGCGCTTTAACCACTGGGTGGTGATACATTCGTTGATATAAACAAAACAATAACTATATATAATCTAAGTTATGCCCTGAATACAACTTCATCTTCAACCTCCAGCCAGAGAACCTGTAACTCATTCATTTCTCATCCATTCACAAAACTTCCAACATCAAACTTGTTAGAAATTTCCTCACGATTCTGAATATGTAAACAATTTAAGCTAATTCTCAAAGATGAGCATGAATTTCTAACATTACCAAATTCTGACCTAAATATTTTCAGAGGTTCAAACTCAAAATTCTCCCTACTCAAGCAACATAAATGAAATCTCTGGACATGTATAGTTTCAGGGAAATGATGTCTATATTTTATCTTCACAAATGCAAGCTTAATAATGCCTAAATGAGAAGATAGAAGTTCAAGAAAAATACCTCAAAACTGGAAATTGTGAAATGAGTTTGAGCTTGATTCAAGGTGCTGCAATGATCAGGTTAGCTTCCTTGAGTCTCTAGGAAGCTAATGCAATGCTTAACTTTAGTTGAGAGTAGCTGAAATGGCCTAGAGAAGTCCAACTGCAATGATCTGTTTTTGGTTATGGAGGTTATGGTAAATGATGTTATAGTGATAAAATAGGGACATGGATAGGTTACACTTGATGTAAGGAAGCTTTAGGAACTAAAAGTCCAAGAAACGCACGAGGGAAATATGAGTTTAGAGTTCAAGGTCAAAAACTGTGCAACAATGGAGTTTTTGAGCAATTTATGGCTTGAGGGAGATTTGGAGTGTTTCAGTGTGTTCAAGCTCGTGTTCTAGCTTACAAATAGTGCCTTTATTTATAAGCAACGAGTTTGGAAGCTTGTTGTTGATCAGAATTCAAAATCACAAGTTTAAGCATAACATGTGATTTTTGAGAAATCTAAGTTTCAAAGTCTTGTGTACTTGCTAAGATGGAGTGGTTATGATTTAAACACACTTTCTTCTGACTTTGTAGATGGAGTGTTATCATAGGGAACAAGTTATAGGCTCAATAATTGACTTTGTGCATAAAGCTTTCTTTTCAAGAATGGTATTCTTCACTTTCTTCCCAAAATGGCAGTGTGAATTGGTTAAAGCTTAAACCACTTGGATTATAGCTCAAACGTTTGTGTAATCCATTAATTATGGATAGATACACAAGTTAGAAGACCTACAAAGCAATATTATGCAGCCTAACATTGAAATTGCATTATGTGTTCATCAAGAAATGACTTGTAATTCAAGAATGAAACCCTAACTTCTTACCTTCGATTCACCTTGCTCAAACATGATCTCAATGAGTTATTCGACATTTTGGAAATCTTGTAACATCCTATACAAGCTCTATGTTGGACATTTTTGAAAATTAATCTTGGAACTATGTAAAAAATTTCCATGAAGTTAGGTCAAAATCATGCCTAAACTTGGGCAAAATTTCACTAAGTTTCCAAGTTTCATGAACATGTATTCACAAAATCATAACTTGAAATCCATGCATTTCTAGGAGAAGTTGTGTTCTACAATGTTTTAGATATCATTGAGATCTACAACTTTCATGTTGTAAATTTCCTTTGAATCGTCTTTCATCATGGTGAAAAATTGGCTCAAAGTTGTCAAAAAATATGAAATTTTCAACACTTAGAAAAATTTCTAAGTTTAGAAATTTTGACTTTTCAAAATAAAATCTTGAATTTTTTATTTATTGATAAACAAGTTTCATATTTTGACATGTTTTGATGAATTGTGATCTTTGGTACTTGATTTTGACCAAAAAGTCAAAGTTTTAATTTTCAGTGTAAAGTTGACTTTTCATCAGTTGACTGAAATTCATCTGTCAACCAATCAAACTTGAGAGATGTTTTGAGCCATGCCATTTGGTCAAAATTAAGCATTTGAGTCATTGAGATCATAACTTAAGCCAATTGTGATCCGATGGTAGAACTGACTTGGTGTGTTGCGTTTTGATCGCATTTGTGCGGATAGCAAGAGTCGCCACCGACTTTTCTTTTATCCAAAAGGATAGGTAAAAAAGCACAGGAAAGACCTTTCGAGATTATTTCTCAGGTTCGGTGGGTAGATTATGAAAAGGGAAGGTATTATAACCCTTTTCATACATGTTTTTCCATGGGCTCTTAGTTACTCGTTTAGATTACTTGCTTTTACTTGATAGTGTGCTTGTGGTGTGGGCTTTTAAAGTGTTTTGAAAAATCTCTTTGTAATGGTTCTTGTTTCTATAAGAACGCCTACAAAATTTTGCTTCAAAAAGTGATTCAAATATGTGTTTGTGGATTGTGTTTTTTGAAAAGACGTTTTGCAATGGTTCTCGTCTCTATAAGAACGTATACAAAAAATTTTGTCTTTTGAAAATGTTTTGAGATGAAAGTATCGGTGTAAAAATGTTTTTTTCGTGAGCAAGCGAGTAACTAGAAGCGAATCTACCTACTCAAAAGGTTTTCAATTTGTTATTTTCTTCCTCCTTTTAATGTTGTTATCTTACCATTGATTTCGTAAGAAGCCCCACCGTTGAATGTAAATGGACAGGCACGGGTCAATTTTACAATCATTGAAAGCAACTTATGTGACGCTTTAGCAATTTTAATAAGGGACGAGATCGTTTTATCAAAGGCAAAGTCGGGGGTCATCGAGGGACTACGATCTTTTTTTATCGAAGGTTCATTGCTAAAGTGTCTCATATTCGAGGGACATGACTATTTTTCCGATAGGCAATGAAATGGGATTACCCTAAGGGTGCGTGCGTGAAGAGTGTGTTTGATTGCATGCATTTTAATCTTGATTAAGGTTGTCTATTTTGTTGTTTTCATGTCTTTCCATATATCCTATTTACTAGCAATATATGAAAAGTAAATAAAATGCGAAAAAATAAAATCTAAGCTATTACATCGCTTTAGGGGGGGTGGGGGTACATATTTATGAATGAGGGTTGCAAGTAAAATTAAATCCTAAATTATTATTACAACCATATCGAAATGGATTAGAATGTGCAAGAAACGAAATTGGTTATTTATTTAAGAAAAGAAATAAGTTTGTTTAAGAAAATATTTATGGTCTTTTGTTTTAAGAAATAAAATGAAGCATGAAAAAATGTTTTTGGTGTTTGCTGATTAATGAAATAGAAAGTGATAGAAAAATAGTGAGAAAAAGTAAAAACAGAATCAGCGCGTTGTTGATTAAGGGAGGTCAGAAATTCTGACCCTGGCGCACTGCAAAACAAAATTCCTGTTAATAAAAAAAAACAAAAGTAGAGTCAGAAGTTATGAGTCCGCTGGGAGCACGTCAGCCTTCAGAAGTTCTG